GACATTATTTGAGGACACAACATTTATGCGAGCAAAAGTTATGAATATTCTTTGAGAAAAGTTTAGTATAAGCACCTTATTACTTGCTTCTATTATTACGGGAGAAGAATTGGATAAACATAACATATATCACTTGAAAGTATGTAGTTTGCGGCGCTCAATGTTACTAATACTAACAAGCAATAAAGGCATCAAATTTAAGCCACTATTTAGCTGTAATACACTGCCGGATCCGGCTTGTTTGCCGATGGCCCGCAGCCATCGGCGAAGTCTGGATTGCCATCGGCAAAGGCAAAGGCTTTGCCGATGGCAATCCGACGTGGCCGTCGGCAAAGAGCCATCGGCAGACATTTCTTCGGCAAAGGGAGGTTTGCCGACGGCCAACTGTCAGGCCATCGGCAAAGCATCAGCAATCGGCAAAGGCGCCACGTCAGCCGACGCGCCGTCAGGCTGACGGCGGCTTTGCCGACGGCTGACGCGGCACGGCCATCGGCAAAGCGTTTTTTATTTTTTTTTCGGAATTTCTATGGCGACGGCCACGGTCGTCGGCAAACTATTTTTGCCGACGACCGCCATCGGCAAAGTTAGTGAATCATTTTGCCGACGGCTCGAAAGCCGTCGGCAAACCTGGATTTTGTCGACAGTAATCTCGGTTTGCCGACGGCCGGCCATCGGCAAACACAGGAATTTTTTTTTTTCCTTTTTTTCTGCTTTTGCTTGCATTTCCACGACATTTCAACACATACATCACATATATAGCATATGACCCACATATATAGCAACAAAAAATACCATTTTCATCCGCACATCACATATATAGCATGGTACCCACATATCCTCCAAGTCATCCATACACAAGCGACAAATGTCGATCGTCATCCATACATAGTCATCCATACAAGGTCCAAAAGCGACAAGTGTAGTACCCTAGCTCGAGGCGCCATCCCTGTGGGTCCCAGAGCCCCCACCACCTTGCTCCCACGGAGACCAACTCGAGTCGTGCCCCCACCTTGCTCCCTGGCCATGCGACCAACCCGATCAAGGGGCCAAACCAGATCTTGCCAAGATCGCCCAACTGTCATGATGACGGGCGCTGGAGGCCCAGAGTGCCCCTCGCTGCGGCGGGAGGAGTACCCTACGACTGGAGGAGGAGGCCGACGTGCGGGCTGCGTGGGGAAGCTCGTAAGGTGCCCACCCGTGCAGGTGGAGAAGGACCCAGTGGAGGGCTACCACTTGAGTCGGGTTCGAACCCGCCGACGGTGTGCTGCACAAAGACCAAGTGATGTAATTAGTACCGTAGGCTGGCCGCACAAGCTAAAGCGACAATCATTGTACTCACCGACCAGTGCAGGAACAGCGGTGGAACTACCGGTGGTGGAGCGAAGATCGAGGCGAGAGGCTCCTGCATTCCCGGATCTGGGCCCGGAAGTGTAGGGACAGTCCGCCAACCGCTCTCTGTAGTCTTTGCGTAAGTGCCAAGAAATGCTCTCGATGGGCGCATCCATTGCTGCGCTGGATAGCCGCTGGGTTGCTGGGGTCTGCCTGCGCTCTTGGACCGTGGCTCGCAATATTACACCGTAATGGTTGATGGTATTTGAAGGCAAGGTACATCATGCGTGAAACGAGTGAACGATTTAATGAAACTCCACTTACCTGAAGTGTCGTCATCATCTGCGCGCTGCTCTGCTGCCGAGGCGCTATGGGGATCTGCGATCCACCCCCCCTTTGCCGGTCTTCTTTGCGGATCTGGCTCAGCGTCTGAACAGACGACGGGTCGATGACGCTGTTGGCCATAAAGTACCGTCCGTCTTTGCTTCCTCCTCCAATCCTCATCACGAGGTCGGTGTCCGAGGGCTCGGTGGCGGGGTCGTAGTCATCGCCATGGCGCTCTCGAGTCGCTGCGGCGTGCTTGGTGAGCTTGTCGAGACGCACCGGGCTGGTGTACTTCTACGCCCGAGCGACGAAAGCAGTACATCGGTGGTGGGCGCTTTAAACTTTGCCGATGTGAGCAAGCGCGTGCCCGTGAACTCGTTGATTTGCTCCCCACCATGCGTCGCCGATCATGCGGACAAACACAAACATGGTTATAAGTAGTGACAATTGAGTGCTATAACAAATGCATCAATAGAAGAATACCCATGTTTCCATGAACTCGCGGGGATCTGGCTCCCTTGGTGGTGTGAGACCCACGACCTATCGAGCTCGCTTGCGCTTGCGCCTTACGCCCGCGTTTCTCTGCTCCTCTCAGACGCCACCGGCGACGCCACCTCCGACAATTACAAGCCGCCAGTCCTCGTGCTTTGCTTGCCACCCCAAAAGCATCTCGCATGACATTCAAGTTTTTATATTCCGGATAATGAATTGAATGTGTCATGTAAGAAATCATAACGGATGTTTCCTGACAATTACTTAAGTTTTTGATATTACCTGCATGTACTGCTCCTCGGTGAGGTCGGTCTCCTCATGAGACATCATCTCCCTGGCTTGCTCCTTATCTACCTTCACCTTCTTGATGTTGGCGTAGTAGCTGATGGCGGCCTGGGTACGCGCCTCGTAGAACATGTCCTTGAGCCAGTCAGCCCACACCAAGTCCTGATGCCGTGACGCCTGCCCGAGGTCCTGCCCCTCCTCCAACTGGAACGGTACGGAGCAAGGACGACGGCGTGGACGAACGGTACGGAAGGTCGTCGGTCCGAGGTTCTTCCTCCTCCTCCCTCCTCCTCCTCTTCTTCTTCCTCCTTCCTTCCTTCCTTCTCCTTCTTCTTCTTCCTTTTTCCCTTCTTTTCTCCTCCCCTTCTTTTTCTTCCTCCCTTCTTCCTCCTTCCTCCCTTCTCCTTCTTCCTCTTTCTCTTTCTCCTTGTTCCTTGTTCCTTTTTCTTTCTCCTCCTTGTTCTTCCTCTTCTTCCTGTGGCGGTTGGGTTGGGGGAGAGGGAGCTCGACGGGACACGGAGGGGAGCTCGGCGGGAGAGGAGCCCCAGCTCCTCACCAGGGCGGCGTGGCAGGCGGCATCCTCATGGCCGGTCCCGAGCCACCAGCGGGGCGGGGCATGGGTGGCGGCAGGGACACTGGCCAGGCAGTTGGGTTGGGGAGAGGGAGCTCAAGGGACAGAGGGGGGAGCTCGGCGGGGAGAGGAGCCCCGAGCTCCTCACCGGTCGGGCGTGGCGGCGGCAGTCCTCGCCGGCCGGTCGAGCATGGGCGGAGGTGGGGGCATGGCAGGCGACGGGACACGACGGGCCGCGGCAGATCAAGGGAGGGGAGCGAGGAGCTGCAGGGGCAGGCGGAGATCTGGCGGCCATGGGGATGGCTGTGGTGGCGGCGGCGCAATGGAGACGCGGCGGATGGGGTTAGGGTCGGGCGCGATGGGGATGGGGTTAGGGTTGGGATGGGCTGGCTGGGCCTCTGCCTTTTAATTTTTTTTTAAAAAAAAATGTGTTTGCCGACGGCCACGGCCATGGCCATCGGCAAAGAACCATCACGTGGCGGCCTCAGGGGCCGTCCTGGGCCTCCACCTTGCCGATGGCTACACAGGCCCGACCATCGGCAAAAAACTTTCTGAAACCATTTTTTCTGGTCCTTCATCTGCAAAGTTGGCAAAGTTTGAATTTTTTTTTTCAGCCCATTTTTTCCTGGTGCCCATACATCTCCATCAAATATAACCCAACTTCAAAGTTGGGACAATGTTGGGTTTTAGCTATCCGACGTTTAATTACTTGCTTCTTTTGAAATTTTTACCACGGCTCCACATGCCATTTGAACACAACTCTTCAAATTTCATGGGATTTTTGAACTTCGTATGGATTTTATTCATGATTCTAAAATATCTTTCCACGCACGTAATATCCCATGTTACTTACGCGCCAACATGGTCGACCATTTTGGCGTAGCTCATGGGATTCACGATCAAAGATACTGTTTTTAAATCATATAATACCATCTTTCAATCAAAAAATCCCATTATTTCATGTTGTGTTGTCTCAAATTTGGAGTCACTTGGTAAAAATGCAAAAGTTTAAAGCAATTAACGTGGGATAGCTAAAACCTCAAAATTGTCCCAACTTTGAAGTTGGGAGTTTATATTTGATGTAGGAAGGCACCAGAAAAAATGGTCACAAAAAACAAAAAATTCAAACTATGCCGACGCAGATGTTAAGGCCGCTTGTTAAAAAAACTAGGTTTGCCGATGGCCACCATCGGCATAGACGGTGGGCCCGGCAGCGGCTCTCGAGCGGCCCGTGGCTCGTCTATGCCGATGGTCGCGCGCCGTCGGCATAGCCTTCCCTTTTGCCGACGGCCCGACGGCAAGGCCATCGGCAAAGGGCACGGCGTCGGCCGGCGTCTGCCCTGGGCCAATTTTGCCGATGGTCGGACGTTGCCGATGGCCTGGCCGTCGGCAAAGATTAGTATTTGCCGATGGCTCGGGTTTGCCGATGGCTTTGCCGTCGGCAAAGATCGGCTTTGGCAATGGCCTGTCTTTGCCGATGTCTGGACCGTCGGCAAAATATCTTTGCCGATGGCTCTGCTTTGCCATCGGCAAATCCTGTGGTCTGCCGATGGCTTATTCTCTGGCCATCGGCAAACCTCCCGGCCGTCGGCAAATAAGCCGTTTCCGGTAGTGATAGGTGCAATGACTTGTAGCGCCGATTTGTACGGCCAAAGTGTGGAACCAATCTCTTCTTCTCCTGAAGATATTTGCTCATTCAACTGGTTACAAAGACATAATATGGGGAAATTGAAAGAAACCGGCCATTCCACTCTAAACAGGAGAATTTGAAACGAGACAACTGCACAAGAGAAGAAAGCTAAGCGACTGAAAAGCCTGACCTAGTAATTGTATACTTCATATATGTATATTTTTTACAAAAATGGCTGTACATTTTACTTACTTTCCATCACATATATTTTGGAGTTTCATTCAGTTGAACCAAATGCTCCAAAAGATGAAACGGAAAACATGCTTGAATCACAAAGTATCAAAAAAGCTTTGTCATACCATGCATGCCTTAGTAGGCCATGTATCTCGACGACATGTAATTCTCCTCCTCTATGGTCTCCAGCGTGGGTCTCCTGGACCGGGCATTGCTGGCCCGGTGCTTCAACTCGCAGATCTCCGCGGCCGCCGCGTCGTCCACCATCTCCTCCAGCCGCAGCAGCCTGGGCGCGGCCTCCGCCACCGCCACCGCCACCACCTCGGCAGGCGGCGCCACGACGACGGCGTTGGCCACCTTGGCGGAGGACCGGCGGGCCTCCCTGGTGGCGGCGGCGGCGAGGCGCGCCACGTCGGCGGCCGCCAGCGGCGTGCCCTTGCGCTTCATCGGGAAGGTCGCGTACACGGCGCCGAGCTCCAGCTCCTTGTCCGCGGGCAGCGCGGCGAGGCGCGCCCCGAGGCCCGCGCCTCGCGCGTCGACGAGGAAGTGGCCCGGCGCGCCCATCATCAGCTCCGCCACCGTCGCCGGCAGCGGCACCTGCCTGACGCCGCCGTCCGGGAGTATCACCCTCGCGCACTTGCCGCCGCCGGACCCCGTCGCCTTGGCCAGCGTGCAGGACATGTAGTTGCCCATGGCCGGTGGGCAAGACCAGGAAGGATCGAACTGTGGTTGACGCACGCACTCGGACGGACAGACTTGTGAGAACTGAGATGAGATCGCTGCGGAGGTCGTGGTGGTCGTGGCTGGGTATGTATGATGAGTATGAGCCTGCCTGGCCGGGGAGGCCGCGGGTTATATAGCGCGGGCGGAAGAAGCGCTTGGAAACGCGTGTGGGCGAAAGGCCGAAGGCGAGTAGGAGACGGACGGTGATGGATGACGGCAAACGCCAAGTGGAGAGGGAAAGGATGCGTGTGGTTTGGTGGCGCCTGGCGGTGTCAGCGTGCTGATGCGAGCTGGGAGTGAGCCGCCGACGCAGGCCGCAGCCGCGTGACGGAAAGTGCGCCCGCTCGCTTCCCATTCGCGTACAATGCGTCCCGAGTCTACCCACCGCAACGCGTTGGGGCGGCGGTTCGTCCTCGGCAAGCTTGCCGTGGGCTGCACCTGCACTTGCAAGGTTGCCCAGTGGCGACTGCTCTGCTAGGGTAGCTAACACTTTGCCGTGCACCACTGCTTCTATCTCGGAGTTGTCGAGTCAATACCGTACCGACGTTTTCTGAGTTAGGCGATGTCAAAACTACAAACATCACCACTTAAGTCAGGGTTTTACTAGGGAATTTCCCCGTGAGGCTCATGTAGAAAAGAGGTCGCGCTATTCGCCAACCACCTTTGATGCAAGAACATTGATCTATCTTCTGAAATATTGCCATATCTTAACTTTGGCAACAATGGAAGCCATGGTAGTACATGTGTAGTTTATTTTGACACGGGGAGTCATTGCACCAAGCTCCGGACTAAACGAGCAGCACGTATCTCCATATTGCTGAATTTCGTAGTCTGATGTACGAGTAAGAATTCTCTTAACCCCAGTTCCACCATTTTAAACTGTCTAGTTTTGTGACTGTCGGTAATCGGCGGTACACAGACGAGTCCTTTCGTCTTTATATTTTTCTTATATATTCTTGACTGAGAGAGCCAGAACTGCGAGACGGGTCTAAGATAGAGTCCACCTTTGTCTTATTGGACTGGATTGGTGTATCAATCTACCTCTGCATCCACAACTTACACCTGTTCGCTTGATCGTTTCTGTGGCTTATAAGCTGGCTGATGCTGTTTTATTGTGAGAGAAAAACACTGTACCATGACTGATACGATCAAGCGAACATGGTGTAAACGTGTGTGGTTGCTGGTTTACCTGTATCCATTTTGTTTATAGAAAATTGTATCCATGTTGTAGGCTTCGAATAGAGAGGCAGCAGGTGATACTAGATGACAGGGCAGAGGTGCGTGTGTGCGTGTGTGTGTGCAACACACTGTCCGTGTGCGTCTACACGCTGACTGTGTGTCGTCTATTGGTTATTTGGCCATTTTAGGCACACAGACAGCAGTACAACATTGGACAAGAAAGATTCCCTCTTTTTCATCTGAAGTCAGGGGGGTAGCGTAACCAGTACATTTCGACGCAATTGCAAGGATCATCTTTACGCACGCTTTATTAAGCCCTTGTTTAGTTCGTGAAATTTGGATTTTGGGGCTACTGTAGCACATTCGTTTTTATTTGGCAAATAATGTTTAAACATGGACTAATTAGGCTCAAAACGTTCGTCTCGCAATTTCCCACCAAATTGTGCAATTAGTTTATCTTTTCGTCTACATTTAATGCTCCATGCACGGGCCGCAAACATTCGATGTGACAGATACTGTAGCAACTTTTTAAAAGTTAAGGTGGAACTAAACAAGGCCTAAAATGCTGTAACTAGTACATCGCCGAGGCTGGGTGGTGTGCCTCACAGAAACGAATTGAAACTCAACGTAAAGTTTCTCCATCTTTCGGTGGAGACATTCAGCAGTGAACCAGTCCAAAGACTCCAATTAATTCCAAAAACCCAACAAACAATTCGCTTAGAATTTTTCTAAAATGGATACCTACTAATCGATCGACACAAAAGTTTCGATTGCAAAAAAAAAAACAATAATCGGCCGACAAAACGACTCGATAAACTCATGTTAGATTAGATCACACAGGATTCCAGGACCGGTTCCTCCATATAAAACAAAGTCTTCCCCAAGTTCACATCCAATCGTCTGGCTCTGCCCCGAAGGACTTCTAGGCAGAGTAGCTGGTTAAGGAAATCGACGAAAAGGATAAGTGCGAGTTGACCACGGAGCCCGCGCCGGCGCGAATAATTCCACCTCAGGCCGATCAGCAGCTGACATTCACATGATCCATCGTCAGTTCGTCTTAAGAATGTCGCCGACGAAGCTGCCGGGAACCTGCAGCTTAGATGCAGTGGTGACCGTAGGTGAATCGCGTGAACGGACAGAATAATATTAGTATTAGTACTGCTAAACACGCCCTGCTATGCCTGCGCTGCGCGTGGACTGAGCTGCCGAATCAATCCATCACGTTGGAGACGTGGGCGGTGATCGAGCGAGTTGTTCTGGAACTGGAACGAATGAACGATGAAATGAACCTGAACCATTCGTCGGCCGTCCTGACTCCTGCGTGGTGTAATGTAACCGTGGCCAAGTGGCCTCTCTGACGACCCGGCTTGTTGTAAACTAGTACGAGCCGCGCGCCCCTGCGCGCGAGTGCAGGCGACCACTGTTTGGTTCTATGCGGGCAGCCATTGTACGTCACAGGCACTGGTGATTTATATGGCCAGGATGCATCGATGCATATATATTTACATGTTATACAGATACGGCGAGGGCAAGCAAAAGTTGCTAGGTCTGCAAAGGTAGAATTCATACGGTAGAAGCAGCGGTGACGTACAGAGGTAGCGAATGACCACAGTAGTGGATCCACATATTACACATGGCTAGCTATATGATACATAGAGTGTTTGATTTTTTATGGCACCAGATGGTGTGACGAAGTCTGCAATCGATGATCAGGTAAGGCGGATGGGTGAACCTGCTGATTCAATATGCCCACACGTCACTGAAGGAAACACTGCCTTTTTTTAACGAAGGTTCGTGTGCAGTCTGACGGAATCATATGTTGCCTGCAAATCAGCATGATACACATTGAGGTGGTTCTTAGGACAAAAGTGTGTAGAGGTGAGGCAAATAGATGGCATTGGTACCTTGTCTTCTTTGAACTTGCTGAATGCACCATCTATGTCCGTGCAACACAGCTGCAGATACTTGTGCACCTGCTGTACAGAGGCATGTAGATGTGTTATGTCATCTGCATTTACATGTTCGAGCAATTGGCCGTGCATCTCTGTAACTCAAGAGAAATATACAAATATACATTTTCCATGCTGAAAATAATATTGCCACCTTTAGATATATTCAAATATTGCATCCACCTACATGATGTACCAATCATAAACTGTGCAGTGCCTTCACAGACTAAAAGGAAATACCTTTGGTGTAGGAATGTTGTACTTATGATATTTTTTTCATGAAACCTTTTGATCATTGTAATGCCGCAGCCTCTGATGAAGGACCAAAAGCAGGGATTCCAGCTTTGACAAGGTCATCTGCAAGACAAGCAAGGAGAGGTGCTTCAGGTCCAGCTAAAACTAATCCAAATTCCAACACCACAATTACGACAGAATGAGATGGCATCTTCACTATTAGTTATCTCCAGGCCGGGTATGCATGTGGTATCTCTGGACTGAGCAATGCTAGGCATAACAAAGAGCATGCTCCCTTCCTCCTCCATCAATGACCAATAGTTCATAGTTCATCAAGGTTTAGTTTTTCCTCAGAAACCACAATGTCCATAGTTCTTTAGGCCTGAGCAAACTATTTCCAGCAGCATAATCCATAAATGACTTAATGAATTTATTTCCTTCTTGACCCAAGCAACAGATAATAATTTCTTGAATTTTTTCGCGTGATCAGTTAAATGAGGACCCTAGTTTTTGCTGGTTTGGCACAGCCATTTACCTCAAAGCGCATGAGGCTTGAGGTTTTACTCAAAAAGGAAAAAACATATGCCCAGTACTTTAAATCCGAGCAAAATTTTGGGAAGCATCACGCATAAACAGTTCAAGGAAGTTACCGTCTCTACTGGATCAGAGACAACAGATACAATTTAACCAGAATTCCAGAACAGCTCCAAAGCATATCTTACCATGAACTTTGACGTGGCCATTAGTCGAAGAGGGTGCTGTGTTCAGGTGTCTGCCCTTCAAAACATTTTAAAGACAGCAGTATTTCGTCCCTGGATGCGAAGATGAGTTTTGCCAAGTGCATTAATTAAATAAGTCAAGAAATGAATTCTTAAGCAGAGTGAGCGAGGGGCTTGCCTACAAGAGGGTGCTTTTATTCTAGAGGTACTATTAGGCAACAAAGAAATTAGGGAAACTCATTGAGCATCACACACAAGGAGGTACAGAAAACCTCGAGGTTCTTTGTCACCTGCTGATGCGGCTTTTATTCTACAGGCAGCGTAACCAAGATAGCATTCTAAATGTATATAGCACTTTTATTCTAAAGGTCACATAAATCAGTTGCCATATCCATTCCAAGTATCAGTTCTAAAAGTAGTATAATAAAAAAATCAACCACCATGGTTTCCTTATCCTACCTATACTTCATCAACTAAACATGTGAAGGTGGGAAGGTACACACTCACATAACTTGGAAGGCTGCAGATGCGTTTCCTGGTAATGCAACAAACATCACAGCTGTAGGTGGGGAAAAATCCACACATAGATGACTGAATTATTAATCATAGAATTTTTTAGATCATGAAGCACTACCCAGATAAGCTCTAGCTAGAAGAACCAAAAAATGCAATAAACATTTACTCACCAACATTTTGGCAGCCCCAAATCCATGTATATTCGACCTAGTCCCTCTTCTGAATTCTGGCCTGGAAATAGGTGGGAAAAAATGTATCAAATGAATACATCCATGAGGTGGCAATTAAGTGAATGTTTTTTGTTTTCGTAGTCACATCCAATTTGAAACCGCACGATGTAAAGGAACTGCATGATGTAAGAGAACATGAAAAAAGCACTGAGGACTGAAGCGAAGGAATTCAACCAAATAAATTGAACCAAACAATATATGGTTGTTTCCCTTACATGTTGAATCAGATGAACTCAGAAACTGACAGTTTGTTGTCCTTCACAAATGGATGTAGGGTTCTAACCATGAGTAAACGATACCGTAGGATGTATAGGTTTAGTTGGGAAAACACGAGGCGGTAAGTGCCTCTGAACTGACAACACTAAACTATTTAGCAAGAGCATCGGCACATGTAGTTTGTATCATGATTTCAGCCTGCCGAACTTGTATAAGCTGGACAACCGTGGATGCAAAGCAGCAATGTGATACAGCTAAGGCAACGAATCCGGTAAAGACAAAACAAAAAATAGACAACAAAGAAATCACGAACTGAGGAGGTTGTAGATGAGGCTGACACTGTGGAGAAGGCGGAGCAACGGAGCCGGCGATCGGAAGAGGCGGCGCTGGCGATGGAGAGGGGCGGCGCTACGAAGACGGAGCGGCGGCGCGGGCGCTGGCTCCTGCCAACACACGTCGCGGGGAGGAGGTCGTGGCCAGGCCCGTCTGGCGCGCCGCAGCGAGGAGGGATGGGGGAGGGGAGGCGGCGGAGGGAGGAGAAGCGCAGGGAAGAGGACGACGGGGTGGGAGGCGACGGGCTCCTCGTAAGTTGACAAGAGGACAAGGACGCGCTTTTTTTCTTTTTTTTTTACGGTGGGAAGGAGCTTCAATCCACTCCGTGAATTCAGGATCAGACGCGGTAAATTTTTTTTTTTGCTGTCGTGGATGGGCTAGGAGGCTTTTTTTTATGGTGGGAAGGAGCTTCAATCCACTCCGTGAGTTCAGGATGGGACGCGGTAAAAAAAATTTGCTGTCGTGGATGGGCTAGGAGGCTGCCGAGCTCCGCTGCCTTAATAAGAAAAAGAAGAAATGTGCAGGTCATGCCGGATTTTCTGCTCCCAGTTTTGTTCGGGATGCAAGATATCACTAGTCGACGGCGACGCGATCCAAATTTGATCCACATGACCCACAGGTCCTCTTTGGTTTTTGCTTCAGTTACTTTGCTGTTAGTCTGTCAGTTAGCGCCCAAGCATCCATTTTTACATATACTTTGACAATGTACTGTTGATCTTGCATCGCTGAAGGCAAGAAGAGTGCAATATGATAAGAGTCACTGCTCCAGCATTTACATGTCAAATATTTTTCACAGCATTCTGTCGTATCAACAGAAAGAATTCGTGGCCTTCACCTAGGAGAATTTGTGTACGTTAAGAAGGATGCCCAAAATTTCCTGTTCAACAGATACCAACCGTTGCCTTCTAAGAGAAAAACTCGAAGAATCTTTGCAACTGATGCTCAATGCTCAGCGAAACGAAAATTGTATCTCCTCTAGTGTTCTTTCCTTCGTCTCCGGCACCCAAAGGACGAGAAAAACAAGGGTGAAGGCGATCACAACCATGTACGTGAGGAAAGTGCCTGCCCAAAAAAACTGCATCAGCTTCCATGGTTCATAATCCTATCCTAGTCAGAGCTGAAACACAAGAAAGGTGTGGTGTGGACCTCCAACACTCCAGGTGAGCATCAAGTTCGTCGTCATTGTTATGGCGAAGGATGTCAGCCAGTTGGCCAGTGCCGCGATGCTTCCACCGAGACTCTTGATGCTAACTGGGAGGATCTGAAAAACGCACAAAGTATATGAATTATACCTTCAGATATCTCTTACAGTACAGTACGTGCCTGAGTTGTAGCTTCAGGCTCTTGCTTATGCAATGAGATGCCAAAATTAGGAGTTGACATAGAGGCATTGTACAAGCTTTATATCAGGTATGCAACCAAGTAGTGTACCTCAGACATCATGAGCCATGGAATGGCACCCATACCAAACGAGAAGGTAATGACAAAAGCCTGAACATAGTTGCATGAGTCATTGTTTTGGCATAGATTCCGCATTTGGATCCAATTTTTCAGAAGAAACATAACTGAGACTTACCACGATAGCAACCAAGGAGATCATAGTTAAGATGTAGTACGAGTTAGAATCCTGTGAAATCTTATCCTGAAAAAAACTAAGCTTAAAAAGGATTAGAGGAAAATTCAGTAGATATTGTACAAAATCTGCATAAGCCATGCGTTACCAATGTTTACCTACGGGATGACCGTCTGACGACAGTGAACCAGATAGCCTCCAGATCACTAGCCTCGCAGCCCTGGCCTCCCAGACCACTAGTCTCCCAGACCACTAGTCTCAGACCTCTGGCCTCCCAGACCACTAGCCTCTCTGCGCCCTGGCCTTCCAGACCACTAGGCTCCAGACCACTAACCGTACCGACCACCGTACCGGCTTTATTCGTACCCACACACTACGGATCGAGCTAGAAGAAGAAAAGAGAACAGAGCAAGCACGTACAATACAAGACAACAACGTTGGTCGAGGCCCTATCTGTGTGTGGCAAATTTGAGCTCTCTTTACTGAGTTGCCTTGGTACCCTATTTATACAACTCTATCTATCTAACTAAAGTACAGCGCACATGCTGTAACAGTAACTAGATAAGCATACAGGGCTGACTCTGCGCCGACCACTGCATGTGCCTACAGTGCTGCAGGTGAGCCGTGCGGCGCCTGCACCTGCAGCGGCTACAGTATCACAGTAGGGGGCAAAGTCGGCGTCGCCTTCCTCTGCTGTGTTCATACAAGGTGTAACAGAACCGACCAATTATACGAAATTAAGTAAGAAAAACATCCGCCAGAGCAGACGATTTAGCAAACTTAAGCCCGTATAACCCGGTAGTCCGTGAAATCACGAAGGATTTCAAACCAACTCACATCCCAGCCACGATCGTAATAAGTTTAGCGGTCACCATCACATATTACATAAAAGTTCGCATTACAAATACATCAGAGTTGAAACATAGTTATTACAAAACGAGTTCGAATAAAAGTAGCGGAAGCCATTTGTTTAAAACCACACACACTCACACGGAGTTCAAATACAGTGCTAGCTGATGATCATTTCCAACAAAAGCATTAGACGAGACGTACGGAATGACCATGCCCATGGTCCTAAGCATCACCCATCGCAGGATAAAGGCAGTTGATACAGTAGCCGTAATACATCTGCCCATCTGCAACAAGTGGGAATAAAACCCTGAGTACGAGAAGGTACTCGGCTAGACTTACCCGACATAACCGAAAATAAAGTGACACCAAGGATTATGAAGGGCTTTATAGTAGGGTAGCTGACTCATTTGCAAAAAGAAGCATTTTTAGCATTTCAAGACCCTTTTCAAAAGCATTATTGTCAAGTTAATTGTTATTAATCTGTCGACTAGATTTGCACCTATACTAGAGCAAATATGTGATTAAGCAGATAATGATAACCAATGATCATTAACAACTTCTATAATGTCATATTCATTATAATTGTCCAAGTGTTCCATCAACATTACTACGATGAAGTCACTCAAGTCAAGTGCTCACTATCCAGGAGCGATGGCGATTCGAATCGATTTCTAACCAGCTGATGATTTATTCCTTACACAAACCTCACTCACCCGCTAAAGTGAGGTATTGATCACCGAGTCAACTATCCAGGAGTCTCGAGTGTCTCGAGTTTGCCAGGAACCACATGTACCCGGGGGCCGACCGACTACACTTTGGTCTTATCATCTCGCCCCCGTGTCCTACCACACCTGCTCCGGCACAGTGCGCTGCGGGCAATCTACTCGGCCCGAATAATCTCCCAGCTTCGCGGTCGGAAGGTACTTTATCCAGCCAGCTAAATGTAAGGCATGCGTTCAACATGACTCGAGGCCCAACAACGGTCGGTCCTTAATCGACACAGACGGAAAGCACTACAGTTCAAAACTCTGTAAGTCTTCGTCCGGTCTCATCTTCATTTAACACTTAGTTATACCATGACTACATAGTTATCCAAACAGATCCAGGTAACAACCTATAGCTCACAGGTGATAGGAAATCACCCGACTTCTACCGGTCTAAGCCAGCTAAGCATTGACTCGACTGTGGATACTAGGGTAACAAGGATATAGTATAACAAAGGTAGACAAGGTATAATGCAGCAATGATTGCAAACAACTCCTGAACGTAATGCATTAATTAAAGTAAAGCATTTAATTAATAATTGCAAACCGGGAGAAAATGCTCCGGGGCTTGCCTCTCTCGAAGGAGCTCGGGCGGTGGTCGGGGCACTCCGAAAGTTCCTCAACGTCCTCCTCATCGGCTTCGGGCACCTCTTGCGGTTGCACCTCGAGCTGCTCCTCGGGCTCCTCGGGTATGACGACTGGGTTCTCGGTTTGCGATCCTGTATGATGCAATGTGTGTAAGTGCTTATGCCATCGATGCATCGGATGAGATGAATACAATGGGTATGCTTGAATGCAAGGTAGTCAACATCATCCAAGAACATATACTACAAGCACATGTCATCTACTGCATTCTCTTCTACTATTAATATGCTAAGTCAACACATCTTATTAAATGCTTCAAAAATACACCAAAGCTGTACTAATTTCTTAATCACACATAAAACAACACTTGATTAAACCCTAATTAATAATATGTTTGAATAGTAACATCTATTTTTATTGTTTAGAAAAATCTTAAAAAATTACCATAGCACAGTACTACCCTAAGTAGCCTACCATCAGATTTTCATGGTATTTGAATGAGTGGATTAGCCTACACAAAAATAACAAGCTATGACATGATTATGAACATGAAAATACTTTGTACTGTGAAAAGTGTCAAACAACAGAGTTAGTATTTTTCCTATGATCTTCATAGCATACAATCCCTGTACAAAAATTATCACATGCATGTTTTATACAATCTTTGCTCTCTAGCAAAAATAACAAAAATCAGCCATTAAAAACACTTGAACTACACCTCATAATTTTTCTACAGCACATGCATGACACACATTTTTCCTAGGAAGTACATTACATAAGAAGATTAACAAACTTGGAATCATATTTTTCTGAAGCCTATAGATTTTTCTACACATTTTTCAAGTTATCAGCAATATCAAGGATTAAATAAAGCTCTACAGAAAAGTATCTTAAAAATGACATGCAGTATTTTTCTCATGTAGATCTGGTGACACAGAACCTAGCAAAATTTGTCTCAACAAATTTGGAGCCAAAATGAGTACACAAACATTTTCCAAAGTCTTTAAGTAGAAATATGAAAAATCATTTTTGAAATCCTTTTAAACTTCAGTCGACATAATCGCTGGGTGCACCAGTCTCAGACAACCACGGAGAGGCTGCCACGCTGGGACCCAATGCCGATCAACCGCCCACCGGCCACCACCGGGCCTTCGCCCCACCATCAAGGGTTGGAGCCTCTGGTCGGCGACCGAGGCGGGAGGGGCTCCACCGGCCGGTGCTCACCGGCGACGAGTCCTCCCGGTGGCGCGGGTGGTTCCAGCGTGCATGCCACGCCGAGGCGCACCAGCTGGGATGGTGGAGGTGGCCCGGCGGCGTGACGAACCACCTGGCCGCGGCAGCGCGCTCGCCGGAGAGGAAGGAGGCGGCCGAGCTTGGTCCTTACCTCGACGACGGCGGCCGCAAGCGAGCGCAAGCGAGGCAGGGATGCTAGGTGGAGCTTCAGGCGATGGGAATTGAGGAATGGAGGCGTGGGAGGGGGTATGCTACCGACAAGGCAAGGCGGCGGCGGCGGCGAGCTTCGTGGTCTTGTGGCGCTTTCTGGCGCCGGCTGCGTCGAGAGCGGGAGGAGGAATGAGGAGGAGGCAGCGGTGTTGGGCAGAAGGAGGCACGTGCGTGGAGCGGAGTCAGGCCGGCTGCGACACGCGCAATGGCGTCAGCGTGTAGGGCCGCCACCTGCCAGCGTGCTCTGCCATGGTCGGAACGGCGAGCGGGAGCGGCGCTGTGGCGTTGCAAGGGCGGCAGCCAGTTTCTGCTGGGTCTAGGCTAGGCCGAGGCGAGGTGGGTCATGCGGATGCGGGCGCGGTGGCAGCGCCGAGCCGGCCTGGTGTGGGCGAGAAAGGAGGCGGCGTCCATGAAAGGAGAAAAGCATTTTTCAATTTTCTATTTTCAAGGAAATTTCAAATAGCAGTTTTCAAATATCATTTTGAGCAAGAAAATGACATCTGTTAAAAATGTCCCAAAAATAAAAGTTGCTTAGAATTTAATCCTCTAAAACTTTGCTTTTCTAACCAAAGTCCAATTCTATCTAGATTTTGAATTATAAAAATTAAAGTAAATTTTAACTCAAAACCCTAATTTTGGAGAATTATTTTTAAAGCAAAATTTGGCAATAACTTGAATACAAAATTTGCTCCAAAAATTGTGCTATATAATTCTAGGTGATTTACAATCATAGCCAAACATGTTTTACTAACCTAGCAAGCATAATTTAGGTAAAATCAACTCTAAACAGGTGTATGCAACATTCATGTTTCACGAGCACGTTTCAGATGTTTCGAAGCATGGTTTCAGTTATTATTTACATGATTTGGTATGTATGATTAGGATGCTTGATGATGCATAATATGCATGATTTGCAGTGCCTAAATGCTGGCATAACACTGGGGTGTTACACAAGGTGGCAGTAGATTAGCTAACAATCTTCCCCTAATCCTACTGCTAACCCTTGCACCCTCTCCATGCCGATCATCTCTTTCAGCTCTGTGAGTCAAAGTCGTCCGAGCGGCTTGGTGAGGACGTCCGCGAGTTGCCGACCAGTTTTGACAAACTCAATGACGATCTGCCCTCCATCAACACAGTCCCTGAGGAAGTGGAACTTCATGTCGATGTGTTTACTCCGGTCGTGCAGAACTGGATTCTTCGCGAGGGCGATGGCGGGCTGGTTGTCCACCATCGCTCTTTGGTGGGTGAGCTTCCACGCCGGTTAGCTTTCGCCAAGACTTTCGGCGTAGCCACACAACAACGCACGCCGCTATGGCGCGCCGCTCGTACTACCGCCTCGCCGTAGAAAGCGCTACCACCTTACATTTCAAATGACGACCATGAAATTGGGGCTGACGCGAGGAAGACGAGTATGCCAGAGGTGCTCCGTCGTCCTTCGATGTCCCCCGCCATGTCTGCATCACTGAACGCCGTGAGCCGCAGCCTACTTCCCCCGGTCTTCGGGAAGATGATTCCATGATTCACCGTCCCCTTGACGTAGCGTAGCAGCCGTTTTACTGCAGCCCAGTGATCCTCTCTGGGATCCTCCATGAAGCGACTGACGTAGCCCACGGCGAACGCAATGTCCGGCCTCGTGTAGACTAGATAGCGCAGACCACCGACGATGCTCTGGTAGAGTGTTGCATCCACTTTCACCGCAGTGCTGTCCTTCGTCAGCTTCAGCCGCTCCTCCATCGGAGTCACGCATGGCGTGCACCCCACCATGTCGCTCCTCTCCAATAGCTTGGAGGCATACGCGCTTTGCCCGAGCGTGAGTTCCTCCTTCCCCTGTCTCACCTCGATGTCGAGGTAGTAGGAGAGAGTGCCGAGATCGTTCATTCGGAAACGAGCTGCCATCTCTCGCTTGAAGCTGTTGATATCCTCCGTGCGCGCGTCGATGACGATTAAGTCATCCACATACACGCCGACCACGAGCTCTTCCTTCCCCCGTTGTCGTGTGTAGAGCGCGTGCTCGGTTGTGCACCTCTGAAACCCAAACTCGCCCAGCGTGGTGTCAAGCTTGGCGTTCCATGCTCGAGGGGCTTGCCGCAGCCCGTAGAGCGCTTTGCGCAGTCGGAGCACCCTGTGCTCCTCTCCCTTGACAGCAAACCCTGGAGGTTGCCTGATGAAGACCATTTCTGCCAGCTCGCCGTTGAGGAAGGCCGATTTAACGTCCAAGTGATGGACGCGCCAGTCCTTTGCTGCCGCTAAAGCAAGTAGCAAACGGACCGACTCCATGCGCGCTACTGGCGCAAAGACCTCCTTGAAGTCGATGCCCTTGCGCTGGACAAAGCCTCAGGCGACGAGGCATGCCTTGTACTTGACAATGGCGCCGAGCTCGTCCCTTTTGACTTTGTACACCCACTTCAGGCTGATCGGACGGCATACTGGAGGTGGATCGATGAGCTGCCAAGTCCTGTTTTCCTCGATCGCCTTCATCTCCTCCAGCATCGCCCGTCGCCAGTTTCCATCGCGCTCGGCTAGCGCGAACGTGGGTGGTTCCTCTGCACTGACGAGTAGCAGCTATGCGTCGTTGAGCAGCCTACCCGCCAGACCTGAGGGACATGTGCCACCGACGATGTCGTCCAGCCTACGGAACCTCAACTCCTCACCTTCGTGGTAGGCGTCCACGAACTCAATGATGTCACTTGGAGGTGAGGCGAACTCGATCGGGGGTGATGGAGTTCCTTCTTCCGCCAGAGTGCCCTGCATAGCACCTGAAGTGCTCAGCACTACTTCTGGACTGCTCGTCATAACTCCTACAGTGTTCGGCCATACTGTAGGAGTGCCTAGCCTCAGTCTTGGAGTGGTTGGGACCACAATAAGACGTCTTGGCTCCGCCACGGGAGTGCTCGGCACCCGTCCTAAAGTGGTCACCACCACTGCAGAACCTCCTGGCTCCACTCCTGGCGTGCTCGGCATCCCTCCAAAAGTGCTTGACACTCCTCCCGGAGTGCTCGGCATCCCTTCTGAAGTGCTCGGCACTGCCCCAGAAGTGCTCGACTCTACCGCCGGAGTGCTCGGCGCTCCTCCCGGAGTGCGTGGCACCTGTTCCGCAGCGTCTCCACCACCGTGGATGACCAAGTGCTCGACGACGAAGGTGTTGAGGAAGCCTCCTGCTTCCCCCGTGCTCGGACTGTTCCAGTCCCAAACCGCCTCCTCGTTGAACACAACGTCGCGTGAGACAGTCACCTTGTCTCCGCGTGGGTCATAGAGCCGGTACGCCTTGGTACCCTCCGCGTAGCCCAGGAACACCATGGGTGTGCTCTTGTCCTCCAGCTTGGTGAGGTTCGGCTTCGTCTTCCTGACATGGCCGATGCAACCGAATGTCCGGAGGAATGACACGTTCGGCTTGCTCCCGTACCAAGCTTCGAACGATGTCTTGCCCGTTAGGGCCTTGGTTGGAGCGCGGTTGAGGATGAACACCGCCGTGGTCACCGCCTCTCCCCAGAACTTTGCCGGCATCCCTTTGGCCTTCATCATGGATCGGGCCATGCCGACCACTGTCTGGTTCTGTCGCTCCACCACGCCATTCTGTTGTGGCAAGTACGGCGCGGTGTGATGTTGTCCCACACACTGATCCACGCAGTACGTAGCAAATTCCACCGAAGTGAATTCACCACCCCGATCAGTCCTCAGTACGCGGAGCTTCTTGCCGCTCTTGGCCTCCGCGCGCGTCTTGAACTTCTTGATTGCCACCGCCGCTTCATCCTTGCTCGTCAGGAGTTGGAGCCACATGTAGCGACTACAATTGTCCACGAGTAGGAGGAAGTACCGCCGACCACCGCATGTAGCAGGCGTGATCGGCCCGCAGAGGTCGCCGTGAACTAGCTCGAGAGCTTCCTTCGCGCGATAGTTGGCCGCCTTTGGGAAAGGTAGCCTCCTCTGCTTCCCGGCCAGGCAGCTGTCACACAGCTCGCCTCTGTGTTTGATGTGGGGTAGCCCTCGGACCATCTTCCCCAGCCGACCAAGCGCGTCGAAGCTGAGATGTCCGAACCGGGCATGCCACATCCATGGTTCCTCAGAGTGCCTTACCGTCAGGCAAACCGACTGCTCTACCTTCAGGTCGAGCAGGTACAACCGGTTCAGGGACCTCTTCACCTTGGCGAGAAGTCGCTGCTCCCGGTCTCTGATCCTTAGAACGCCATCCTTGATCAGAACCTCGCTACCGCGCTCATCCAGCTGACCAATGCTGATGATGCTGGAACGCAGCTGCGGGATGTAGTATATATCCATTAGCGCGCGGTGCTCCCTGTTCTGGCATCTGAAGATGATGGTGCCGCGCCCTTGGATAGCCACCCTTGAGCCGTCACCAAACTTCACCGTACCGGTAACATCGTCGTCGAGCTCGGAGAAGGAGTCCTTAGAGCCCGTCATGTGGTTACTGGCACCAGAGTCCAGATACCACGGCTACTCCTGGTCGGCGCCCACACACCCGAGATGGACTTGGGCGCGTGGTTCGTCGAGGTTGACGGTCTTCAGGGCCTTGCTAGATCCTTCCACCGTTGTCGCCTCTTCCCTCTCCATGGCCTCGACGTCGTGCAGTGCACAGAACGTCGCCATAAGGATAGTGGCCTCATCCTCATCATCGGCTTTCGCCAGGTGAGCCTGAGCCTTCTTTTCCTTCTTGTGATTTGGGCACTCCCGTGCCCAATGGCCCATCTTCCCACAACACCGACAGGCGTTGGAGTCGATTTGCTTCTTCTCCGAAGAAGCCCTGCCGCGATGTTTGCCGTTGCCACCGCGACTGGAGGAGGCTGCCTTCCCAGAGTTTCGCCGAGCAGCCCACTCCTCTTCAGTCAGCAGGAGTTTCCCGTTGTCCTTCGTTGCTGTCGCCTGCTCCAGGCGTTCGTCCACCGCCCGCAGACGACCTGCCACATCCTCGATGGTGAGGGTGGATAAGTCTAGCATCGTCTCTATGAAGAGAGCGATCTGGATGTACTTTGCCGGCACGGAGTGGAGGAATTTGGAGACCGCCTCCTCTTTGTCGATGGTGACGCCGTGGCTCTTTAGCTTGCTGATGAGCGTCTGCAGGCGGAGGGAAAAGTCCTCCACTGTTTTACCATCCTTGAACTTGAGGTTTGCATACTCCTGCTTCAGAAGCTGGGTCGTTGCCTTCTTTGCGCGGTCGGAACCGACGCGCATCGCCGCAATGGCCTCCCACGCCTCCTTAGCTGAGCTTTTCGTCCCCAACGGTTCCCTGTACTCCGTCGGTACAGCAGCGAGGATAGCCTCCAACGCTGACATGTCGTCTTCTTCCACGTCGGTGCCCTTGTCAACAGCATTCCAGAGCCGTCGGGCTCTGAGCTTGACCTTCATGGTCACCGACCACTCTTCATAGTTAGTGCTAGTCAGCGTCGGCTAAGTGGTGCCGCTGACCTCCCACACCGTGCGGACAACTACCTCCGGTAGTGGCTGGGCAGCTATGACAGTGCCACTGCCGTCGCCCAACTCCAAACCGCCTGTCATCGTCATCGGTTAGAATGACGACGGCGCTTGTACGAGGCTATGATACCACTTGTTTACCTACGGGATCACCGTCTGACGACAGTGAACCAGATAGCCTCCAGACCACTAGCCTCGCAGCCCTGGCCTCCCAGACCACTAGTCTCAGACCCCTGGTCTCCCAGACCACTAGCCTCTCTGCGCCCTGGCCTTTCAGACCACTAGTCTCCAGACCACTAACCGTGCCGACCACCGTATCGGCTTTATCCGTACCCACACACTACGGATCGAGCTAGAAGAAGAAGGGAGAACAGAGCAAGCATGCACAATACAAGACAACAACGTTGGCCGAGGCCCTGTCTGTGTGATGGCAAATCTGAGCTCTCTTTACTGAGTTGCCTTGGTGCCCTATTTATACAACTCTATCTATCTAACTAAAGTACAGCGCACATGCTGTAACAGTAACTAGATAAACATACAGGGCTGACTCTGCGCCGGCCACTGCATGTGCCTACAGTGCTGCAGGTGAGCCGTGCGGCGCCTGCACCTGCAACGGCTACAGTATCATAGCAGGGGGCAAAGTCGGCGCCGCCTTCCTCTGCTGTGTTCACACAAGGTGGCAGTAGATTAGCTAACAACCAATACAGTTTACTATTGCAACGATAGTCAGTGTCAGTACAATAATTATTATCTTCTCACTGGAATCCTAGCTAAAGAAACATGAACATACCTTGAGAAAAAATACAACAGAAACAGCAAGAAGGCATAGAGTCATGCCAGAGGTAGAAATCTGTCATTTGAAGTCAGTGTTAATTCAGAGTTACAGGAAGCATGCAGGCTAGTTATTTTACAGGGAAGAGAAAGTTACAATGAGAAGCATGCGTCGTCCAGCTCTGTCTAACAACCATGTCGTAACTCCAGTAGCAAGGATCTGACAAAAATGCAGTGACCAGCTTAATATAAATTACAGATAAGTTGTATCAGGTTATAAACTCATCCTAGCTACGCGCACCTGGATAGCTCCAAGTGAACAGGTGGCCAAGTCGCTGTTTGTAACACCTGAAGATTTTGGATGTTAATTTGGAACAAAACTTTACTATATTATCGTTGTTGTAAAGCATGGTAAAGGAGCTCAAACTATTAATAGTGCCTATGTATTCATTCGAATAATACATAGGGTCATCAGACGTGGAAACGATCTAAATTTACAAATGCAATGAAATGCCATCTTTTAGTGATTAAAGGGAATGATAAACTATATTACAAGGTAACTCATTTTATAATCTTTCTTGATCCTACTATGATCTAGGAAGATATTAAGTTTGTGCATTCTAGTGGATTGAAAATCAGTAGTCTATTATTCTATTCCTTCATCTGGAAAGCATACTGCCAAACAAACAATGGTATTAAAGGTTGCTTCATTATTGGTTATCAGTAGTCATTATCATTTCAATTAAATTTGCAAGGTATCCAAACTATCATGCCTAAAACTTATTAAACCAACTACTATGACCTAAAACAGTACAGACAAGATAAAGACTGCAGCTTACCTGCAGCTTTGAAGATGCTACTTGCATAAAACAGTACACCGTTGATTCCACTTAGATTTTGCAGTACAAGTAGGCCAATTCCTAGCTGCCAAGTTAATTAATAATCACAATTAGAAACTATAGCTGTTGATTTTGGCATGGATTAAGCTGACGAAGTTAAGATACAAGTAGTGGCGTGTGGTATTTCTTTTGGTTTAATTCTTGAAAACTGATTGTAGTCCTCTTACTTGATGATGTCACATCCCTCTACAAAAGGATCAAACCTAAAGATGATTCCGTTGATTCCATAAGAACGTGGTGCATAGATCCATGTGTCTAATTTAAATAAAATCTTCACAGCTAAACTGAAAATAGATCATATATACTGCATTTAGTCACTCCAGAGAATAATAGAGGTGCTTTGCCTTTATATCATTCACTTCTGTCGTGATGTCAGTCTCAAACCCCCTCAGCACTTGTAGGGACGTCTCACAATCTTCCATCAAATTCATCTTTGCCTAGAGATAAGAGCAAGATAAATGGTCGCTAAGATTTCAGTTTGATCCAACAGATCATAATTCAGATCCAGTTTATGCGTATATATACCAGCCATCTGGGAGATTCTGGAATGAAGAATAGTCCAGGAATCAACACTGTGCAGGGCAAGGCACCTGTAATTGGCAACCCAGACATTTAGATAAGAAATAATGACACACTTATAGCATTTAATATCTTCCTAGATAGTATATTTCTAAGTTTATAGTCATATTGGGGAAAGCCATTTGCAGTTAGCGATCTTGTGAGCTGAAACATCAGTGGTTAAGTATAAACTGTAAGCAACAAGAAGAAAAGAAAATTCAGTAATACATAAGTAGTTAGCAACATTACCGATCACTGCTAGAAGTCTCCAAGGAACAAACATGCCGAGCAAATAGGCCAAGAATATGCCAAAGGTCACGGACAACTGTAGGATGAACAATTGCCAATGAATCAAATATAAATAAACCAAGTACTATTTTTTTAATAAAAAGATAAGATGGTTATGAGGAAGCACACCTAGTTCACAGAACCAAGAGCTCCTCTCATGTTCTGAGGAGATATCTCTGCTATGTATACAGGTACCTGGTAACAAATTATCATGTGATTAGTCCAAACCTCCAAGGTTCTTTTGGCAACAAACAAATTATACATTGGTCATGGTTCACTCTGCCTCCATTTTTTACCCCTTAATGTCCCCCAAAATATTGGAATCTCACTCAATATTTTGATCTCTCACTTTTCCAAGCAGCAACTGCACCAGTTCTTAAGTTTTGAAAGTACAAATCTTCTGTGCAAGAAATAAGCAGGCAACAAATCTTCTTTTACGAACCGTATAGGATATGATGCCTACACCAAACCCTTCAAGCAATCGTCCCATATACAGAAATGAGGCATCCTGTAAAACAGACTCCGACAGATGGCAGGCATCAATCTTATGTTTTCAGAAGCAACAATGGGTGAAAATAAACTCAGGAAATGTACTTGTTGAGTACTTTTGCAAAGGAGATCGCAAGCCAACCGATGATATTCAGGATTGCAGCAATCATCAACGACTGCAACCATTTAGCAAAACCGTCAGACTAAAATAGTACAGCTCTAGTGCAATTAACTACGACTGAAATGCTGTGATATGTTGAACACCAGACTGAACTTCTATGTACAAAATACACAATCCACACCATTTCTCAGACACACTAAAACTGCATGATTAATACAGAATATCAACAACAAAGGAAAGTAGGAAACAGACGAACATGAAGAAACCGTGCTAAATCCCAATTTGGTTAACTGCACAAAAAGAACACAGTCCACAGGCATTAATTCTTGCAAAATTATTGACTATTTTCAAAATTCCACCTGCTTTTATTTTCTGAAGAAAAAGTCCTCCCACCTAATTTTTTGAAAATACCGGTAGCCTATTTATATTTGGGTTCTCTACCACAGAAAAGGATGTCTTTTCTTGTTGGTTAGTCTAAAGTCTAAATGCAGCCTGCTCTCTGTCGATAAAGAAGTGATGTTGACCCTCCTTCGTCGTCAGCTTACAAGTAACAAACTGATCATAAAATGGAAGGACAGCTGACAACTGCCAAGAAAGAAAGGGGGTCGAATTTCTCACCCCTTTACGGCCAATGTGCTCGGCCATCTGCCCGCTGGCGATCGCCCCGACCATGGCGCCGACGTTGGACAGCGATCCGAACGCCGAGAACTGCAGCGCGCGCGCGGGGTCAGTATTCTCAAGCACAATCCTTCAACAAAGAAAAAAAAACGGATCTCAAAGACGACAGCCGCATGTGGGTTAGTTTGTTACCTCGGAGATGGAGAGGTTGAGGTCCCGAGCCATGGCGTCCTGGGTCGGGGAGGAGAAGCCGCTGGTGAAGCCGAACTGGATGGGCCCGAGCGCGACGATGAGCGTGCAGAGGAAGGCGGAGACGTGGGACTCCCGCAGGACGGCCATGGAGGAGGCCCCGGGGGCGACGCTGGACTGCCGCGAGGTCATCCGGTACCAGCTGCCCGTGTGGAGCAGCGGCTTCCGTAGCCCGCCGTCGTGGTCGCTGCCGCTCACCTCGCCGGCGCCGCCTCTGTTGCTGCCGCCACCCATGGCGTCGCTCGCTCGCTCGCTGGCCGGGCACTGCCTCTCGCCGCAAGCTTTGATTTTTCTTCTTTTTCTTCTCACCCGCTGGCCTGAAGGAGGACGAGGAGGAAGAAGCGCAGCGGACAACGATCGATGCGAAGATGAACCGTCGTCCCGTTGAAATTTAAAAACAAGAGAACCGCAGGCTCGAGCGTACACGCCGTCCGATCTTTGATTCTACGGTAGATGTTACTTGAATCCGCTTATGGCCCCGTTCGGCTGGAGGAATTATGGATGAATTTGGATGAAAAACACTGTTCTGATGGAAATGTTGCAAGAGAAAAACACAGTTCCGAATGAAAAAAGAAGCGGATCAAGCCGGGTTTAAAGGCAGGCGAACGGGGCCTATGTCGGGAGCATCTTTTTGTAGCTTCTGTTGCTTCCGCTTCTACTCAACACTAAATATATATCCGGCTTCCGATTCACAGCACACTCCTCTCTCTCGTGCCCGCCTCTCCTCCAGTCCTCCCTCTCCCTCTCTCTTGGCTAGGGCGGGCCCCGTCACGCGTGTCCCGGTGGCGGCGTGGCAGGCCCCCGGCGAGGAAGGGCCCCGGCGTGGTGGCTCGGCACGCCCCCCCCCGGGCATGACAGCCACAGCATGGGCAGTTCCCGGCGAGCTGGCACGCTCGATGGCGGCCACCAACAAGAAGCGGCGCTACCGCCTCTCCTACCTCCCTCCTCCTCTCTCGTTGCTCCGGGCGCGGTGCGAGGGTGCTCCTCGGGGTAAACGGGTGTCGGCCTTTGCTGGGTTCGATCCAGGGCCTCCACGACTGGATCCAAGACCTCCATGGACAGATCCATTCGTTCCCCTACCGGATCTGGCCTGAAGGCGTCCTCTCGCAGTGTTCAGCGTCGAGGGATGCGGCATGAGGGCGTCCTGCTGATGTGTGCTTGGTACATGGTGTTTATAGACTGTAGTTGTATTTACCGAATTTATGTGTGTCCTTAGGAGCCACTATTACTGATTTGTCAGGTCACTGTGCGGAAGGGGTTATTAGTTGTTGCTTGCTGGGTTTTGTAGCTATTGTTGCCCTTTCTTCTGTGCATATGCAGCAGTAGCATGTTGCCAATGTAAGTTGTCTTTATCTTGCATACGTCCGGCATGGTTGTTTACTTTAGAAGTAGTAAATTTAACGAACCAAGGAATGGTCTCCAGGTCCATGTGATTTGAAACATAATTTTTATTGTAGTGAGGTGTGTGATGTTACTTGCGACTACTTAAACAAAAAAGAGGTAGTGTGTTAAACAACTTCGAAGTGCATAGTTCATATGGAGTGAAAATGATGGCTGTGTATTCTGAAATTTCTTTTGGGTACTTTTGTATGTCTCATGATTGATTTTTTTTCATGGCCACAATGGCCATTGCTAGATTATCAATTTAGACTTACCATTATGCAGGTGTGCAAGATTAGCACGATTAGCACTGCTACGGCAAGGAGCTCTTGGCGTGCCAATCTGTGCAGGTTTCGTTTGTCCTGATAAGATTCGTGTCGTACCCCTATAATGTTTCTGTGAATTTATCTTATGTCACCCTTGGGAGTACCCTTTACACATCATGCTTCTTGTGCCACAATCTTTGTATTTCTCACCTAAGCTCGACACTTATTCTTATTACTCTTTACTGTTAGTCTACAACAACTATAGTACTAGGTTATTTTCCTTCCTAAAATGATGCAGTCTTTTTTTTGCTCATACTGTTTACTTCTATAAATTACCAGCTGCAAGGAAAATACTCTCCTTTTTTATGTCTGATGTATATTTCAGTTTTAAGTTCTTAGTGCTAGATGGGAACCGATGTATATTCGGTTGCATAGAAAACCTTGAGAATACATTACCACTTGGTTGTGGTGTTTTCCAATCTGAATTGCCCAAGTTGACTCAGGTTTCTATTGTATGGTTTCTAGATGACCGAAAACATTAGTTACCTTGGAAACTTTAATCATTCCCTACAATTTGTTTTCTAACTTGAAAAAACTTATTTGGTGTGTGAGTGTTTCTAACTTTTCATAAATCAGTTTAGAACAATCAACTTGTATTTTAAATTATTTCAGTTGTCCCTTTGGTTCCTTTAATTCAACCAATATTTGTCATTCATTTATGGTCTAAATAATAAGTCAAAAATTATGCATGCATGCTAGTGCTGATGGATCAGGATCATACATTTGATCACATATGTAGTTACTGGATGCCTGGACCTGTAACATCTTCGTTTTGTAGCCATAAAAAAGTCTTCCTTTTTTCCAGAATAGTTGGTTTGAGTAGATGAAAATGTGAGGTTATTCCAATTATATCTTTTTAATGTTAATTGATGATATACCCTTAAGGTATTATTTGGTTCAGATTATAACAGTCAAGCAACCAGCGAGCGTATTGTGCTATATCTGATTAAAAAATATATGTTCACTTATCTGAGCGAATTCCTTTATAAGTCTAAGCCTGAATTGTCAGTTGTGGTTGATAATTTTCTACTTGGCTGGTGTTCTACTAACTGCTCGATAAGTGTATATTTTTGGTTGCTACCTATAATTGTTGTGTCATGCACAGATGATTATCAGTGATTTAGCAAATATAATGCCTGGGCTGACATCTCTTTTCCTATTTCAAATATGGAATGAAATGGTTCAATCTAATATGTTTTTGTGCATGTCGTAGGAATTTTAATGTAATACTACCCTTCGATATTACCATTTAATGTTTCATGACATGTGGAAGTTACTTCAGGGTTAGTTAATAATCTTATTCAAATGAAAGATTGTTAGAACTTCCCTATCTAAGACAGCTCAAATATTTGTGCTATGATATTATTTGAAAATCCAGCCAACAATGGATTGTTTTACTGCTGTTTGTAGGGATACATATTTGTAATGGATTGTGTAACCATAAATTTATAATGAGCCCTTTTGTTAAATCCCAGTAAAGTAGATTTATATGATAATAAAACCTGAGACTCATCCTTTGTTGTATGTAACTATTCAGGTCTAGAGTTTAGAGATCCGCACGCTCGAGAATAACATGGTTTGTGTCTCCAAAAACAAGAACCCTTGGTAAGTCTGCATGAAATGGAATGTTGTTCTTCCCTAATTTAGGGTTGTGATAGCAAGTATTTTTTTCCCAAGGCTAAGAGGAGAAATTATGCTAGCTGCCTCTTCGGTAAGCTGACCAGATAGAGCAGTGTTCTTTCGTCCTCTATTCTCTGCTTTATATTTTTAATTATATTTGGCCACTATAATGGAGATACAAGTATATTTGTTGCTTTGATAGTTCCTGGTAAGATACATGTCTCCTAATAATTGTGGAAAAAAGTTTTATGTATCTATGCTTGTATGACAGCAAACTAAAACAGTGTTGCTCAATAGTATTCTGATTTGACTTATTCTAGAGTTGACAATTAACAATGCACTTACAAAATACAGTAATGTTAATGCGTCGCTTTATGCCTTTCTAGACATCTAATTAGTATCGGTGATTCAGTGCTTCTACTCGGTGATTCAAAGATTTCAAATGACAACAGATGTAGACTGATCATAATATAAGATGTGTTACCTAACTATTCTACCATTGGGTAGTTATAGCTACCTTTTGGGTTAATATCAACTCTTCTATCTCTTATTTATCTTCCTGATTGTAAAGTCTTTAGTGTTACGTTCTCAGTTTATTGTACAAATTATTGCTTTATCTTCTGTTCGATGTCCTTGCATACATTTTGTAGCCTGATTTCCAAATTTTTATATACCTCTCTACTGTATAGATTGAGACTGTGCTTTCCCTTTAAAAAATATTTTAAAGTCAAACTTATTATGTTTGCAGCCTATGTGAGCCATTTGTTGCCTTTACTGACAATATATTTCATTATATGATGCCTAGGATGTCAATTTTATGATGTTTTAATTTATGCTTGCCTTTACGGTATACTATTTTTTTAGTTGTTTAATTAGACATCTTGTGATGTCTAGGATGCCAATTATCACGCACCACGCACCTTTGTGAAGCACCACTATACTTCAAGGATGGCGACGAAACATCTAATAATTCTAGCTGTATGTGTTTTTTGAACACATATAACATCACAATATTCATGTAGATGATGCATACCATAGTTCCTAATACTTAGCTCCAATGCATGCTTTTTTGACGTTGATCCAATGCATGTTTTTCCTTGAATTTCTAACAGCGGACGAAGTCAACGTGGATAGAGAGGCTCTTGACGAATCCTACAGACAAGCACGAATGTGATGTCACTCAGACCCTATACACCATGCCTTAGAGTGTTGCTGGGTTCTTTTAGTTAGCCACTTAGCCCGCATATACTATCGGCTACGCCCTCATCACATGCCTAGACACTATTCTCTCTAATATACAGCTCATCAGGCATGCCAGTGGCCAAGCTATTATGGTGTCGGTTTGATCCACCACCGTTCAAACACTGACAATGAAATTACAAGCTATAGTCTTGCTTTGAAACCAAAGGTACAGCTCCGAACCAAGCTATATAGCTCCTAATGCATTTTCATTTACAATAGTACATATCAGATTCTTGTGTAGTAAAAAAGTAACATCTGTTGTGTTGATTTAAGCAGCCTTCTCGCCACTCCAACATGTGAGTTTGACGTCATGGCTCGGTAGCATCCCCTAGAAACTGCTATTTCTCTCCCGCATGTGATGGCTATTGTGATCATGTACGTCCAATAGTGTGTACTAAGCTTGCGCCTTTGAACATTTACCTTGGCTATGTTAGAAGTTATGCTACTAACGTCTAATGATTCTAATCTCAGACATCTATCTATTTACAATATCATATGATGAAATCGCAAAGGTGTTATCACAGCGCGTATGGGCACGCGCAAATTACTAGTGGGCAAGTGAGGACAGAGGAGTGACCGAACCGAGGGAGTCGGGTTGTCTTGCCCGAACTGTGAGGGGCCTACGGGTCAGGCACCTAGTCAGATGAGTTCGCCGACTTTGCCCCTTTTCGTTATCTTATTTCTCGTCATCTAGGAGTACGAATGTGCTTAAGTACAAAAAATAAATAAATTGATGACAACATATTTCTGCTATACTGTCTTTTGTAGCCATTATTTCTATGGTGATCCATCGCTAAATGAAAATGCAGTTGTTGAACGGATAAGAAGGCAGAAAGATTGGTGATCATGCCACGCTGAGCTCGAAGAGCATAAACTCTTTCCCCTGCAGCAAGTGGTAGTACTACGAAGGTCTACAGAACAAAAGCCTGCCGGTGCCGGGAGGCATTGACCGACAGATACGGGCGATGGGTAGGTGCTGCATTACAATTGCATGCACTAGATTACAGAACCACTCGTCCAGATCCTGTTAGAATATAGGCTGGCATGTACATTTCCTACTATACCATATGTCCATATGCATGCAGGCACGTTGGTGCCAGCCCATGCGAGCTGTCGCCGATCGAGCGCGGGATCGGCCGGAGCTGCATGCGTGTCATCCGCCACGTCATGCTCTGACACATGGGATCATCAATATTCAGGGATGGGACATGAATATATATATATATATATATATATATATATATATATATATATATATATATATATATATATATATATATATGGACACAGAGTGTTTGGTTGGATGGATAAGCTGAATCTGGATATCCACAACAGGAAATATTTTAGGTAGATACTGAATATGCTGGCTCTAAAAAATTTAACGGATGAGGATATCCATATATTAATTAGCGCATGTTTTGTGTGACAATTAGAATAGTATAGTACTAATTAACATATTTTATTTTTAAATAGTAATTATAATGGCAAGATTAGTTTCGGTGTATATTTATTATGGTATAATTAGTTGTTATTATGTTATTATTTTTAAATAATAGAAATAATTAGTCAAGTATTCTTATCCCATCTAATCTCATCCATTTAACTAAACAAAAAAATAGCTCGTCGTATCCATCCAACCAAACAGACAACATGTATATCCATATCCGAAATCCATAAATAACCATACCCCATCCGTCCTCGAACCAAACACACAACCTGTCGTCGATGCCATGGCGACTGCTTGATGAAAGCGCCAAGGGACATGTGAGCGAGGACGACGCGAGGCGAGACTATTCGTGCCTCTTTGGCGTGGCGTGGCATGGCAGGTCTCCCGCTCCAAGAGCTCTTATGGTTGATGGAGATGCGCTGCGCCGCTCGTCGTCGTCGTCGTCTCTCGTCTCCGTGTTTGGTAATTAACCCTGGTGCACGCTGGGCGTTCATTGGTGCTCTGCGATCGCGCACGTGATCGCGAGATTGGTTGGCTATTTAATTAATCGGATGGTGTTTTGTTTCCATCATCTTCCTCTTCCACTAGCTTCAATCGCCTCTAGTGCCAACGTCTGGGAAAATAATTCGAGACGCCGTGATCACGACACGTGTATATACGCATGGATTATGAATTTATGGGACTATTAAATAAATCCAGAAAAAAATATAACTCACTCTGACGTCAGGTGCCACGACTAGCAGCCCAAACGTACGGAACGCATTGTCCGTCCGGACGCAGCTCTCACACCCGCGCTCGACGCACGCAACTCCCTATGCCCCGCGTGCAAATCCTGCTGCGGAGGCAGCGTCCGTCCGGACGGAGCTCCGCGCCTGCACCCGACGCCTGCCCACATCGCGTGCCAGCGCCTGGAACTGCACCCCTGCGCCCGCACGTGAAACATGGTGGCGCCCCCGCAGCAACACCAGGCCTGCCACGCCCATCCGCGCCCGCACGTGAACCACGGCAGCAACACCATGCAGTTGCGGCAGGCCACTATCCACCAACCGCCAATACACATTGCAACATATGCAACACCCGATCTACTTTTGAAATATAAAACATTTGCAACATACAACTGAAACGGGTGAAACATTTGAAATATATTCTTAAAACATGCGTGTATAGCCATAGCAACATATGTAACATCCAGATCTATTTTTGCAACATAAAGTCTGAAACCTTTGGAACACATGAAAATAAACACTTAAAACATACTTGTGCAGCCATAGCAAACATATGCAACATACAGATAAAAACACTTAAACATGTGTCTTCAACACTTTGAACGTAGCCTCGAAACATGCGTAGATTGTCATTGCAACATATGAAACATTCTAGATCTACTTTTGTAACATCCAGATGAAACACTTAAACATAAGTCCAACAGCCACAACCTACCTAGTAGGAAACTATGGTAGCCAGCAAGCCCGGGTTAGGGAGACGTCGAGAGCAACGGTCCAGCGTACACCTCAGGCGTAGCGCGCAGGCCTCCCCTACCTCTCCTTCTGCGACGAGCAAGGTGGATGGGGGCATGGTGCGGGCACAGAGCAACACGAGATGTGGCCGGCGCGGCGGCGTAGAGGAAGGCGGGCGGGAGCGCGACGGACTGTGGTCGCGGAGCGCAATCCCAGACTCGTGGCATTACGGCGATATTCTTTTTAAGAAATTACGGTGCCTCAAAGAGAGCAAATATAGGAGCGGATAAAAAAGCCTCGTGGGCATCGCGGCCCACCAATGGAGCCATCCGGAACGTCCTACATGTCTCGATTATTCCCATGGAAAAAGCCTTTTTTTTACCCATTTAACTTTTAGGATAGTCTAATTCTCCTTCTCATTTATAAAACTGGGATGTTGAATCTCCTCAACTTTTAAATCTGATCGGTATAACTACTTTTGGCTGGTTGCCGCTGCCGGCTGTTGCTGTTTTCCTTTAGGTATTGTATTGTATATCTGCGTTTTGTGGCAACTTCACTACTGCAGCCTGCAGCGCTGATTTTTTGTTTTTGCACCCTAAGCGATCTGGGGTGGCAATCTCATGGCATCACGTCAGCCACGAAAGGGCTAAATTAGACCTCTTTGATAGTCTAGGGAGGTAAAGTGGACAAAAATTACTTTTAATATTTTTTCTTGAAAAAATTATGCAACTAAAAGTCATAATGTTTGGTTTAATCTTAGATAATTCATAGAAATTTTATTTTACCTCAAAAAATTATGAAACTAATTTTATACCTTTTTCTAAAATCATGCTCTATCTAATGGTGCCAAAATTAAAACTATTCTACCATTCTATGGACTTGGGTTTGTTTTTTTGTTGCTAGAAGAGATCTCGTATATGTTATAGTTAGTCTACGTCATGACCGTGATCCTGAAAAAGTTCAGAACTTCGGATGACTTTGATGACGACACAAGTATCATATAATGATGTAACAACATCATATTTGTTCCTACTTAGGCTCGGTTTAGTACAACTATAGGTAGAAACACGTCCCTAGGAAGATGCACAAATGGAGGACAAGTGCATCAAAATGAGCTAGCCTAACCAAGAACATTTGCTAGTGAGAGTAGTCCATATCACTTAGCCTTCAACTTAGTTTGGTTAGTCAACAATAGCTAGTATAATAGATAACGAGATCATCTGCTAGCAAATAAACACAAAAGGAGTCTATAGAACATTTAAACAATTTCAATATAGGCACTAGAAGATAGAACATGATTTTTCAAAAATACAAAAATTGTTTGGTAATTTTCTAAGCACAAATGGATCTTCTATGAGTTATTTAAGATTAGAATATATTTTAGGGTTCTTATTGCATATAAAGTTTCTAGAAAAAATCTTAGATAATTTTCCAAAGAAAATATTTATAGTCATATTTATCCCTTAAAGTATCAACGAAGTTCGATCTACCCCTAATAGCGTGGTAAAACAACTATCCAAAATCGTTTAGAATGCAAAATCAAACTGTATTAAAAGCCGGTTTTGTAAATGTGAGGAAAATCGGATTATTGCCAAAATTAATGGAGTTGAAGAACATTTTCCTACTCTCAGGTGATTGAGTTTCTGCGGCCCAGATTGTGTCGCGATTTTCGTGTCTCCGCGACCCAACAAATTTAGCTGGGCCGAAACGCGTCGTCCTCAACCAAACTTGAGTGAGATGGGCCAGCCCGTACCGGGCTGCTGTTCATCTGTCGGTACAGTGTCCCACCTTCACTCCTTTGACCACCAACTCCGGCGGCGCCGTACGTCGCAGCCGCACGCCACCCAGAAATACCTACATGGGGCGGACGGCGCGCTCCCGGCCTCCGGTCACCGAGCCGCCTCTGGCGGTCACCGGCCTTCGCTCCACCAAAATCTCCTTCCGCTCCCGTAAGATCGTCAAGACACCATCAGCGAAAGCGAAACCTTGGGCCACGACCGCCCTGGCACCACCGGCTCCGGCGCCTCCAGTGCTGCCCGCGCTGTCCAACCCGGGAGAGCTCGCGGCGGCTCTGCGCCACCTCCAAACCGCGGACCCCTCTCTCGCCGCGGTCATTGCCTCCACTGAGGCCCCCACCTTGCCGCCACCCCTCCCTCCCCGCGTTCCACTCCCGCGCGCTCCATCCTCTACCAGCAGCTCGCGACCTCCGCTGCAGACGCCATCTACGCTCGCTTCCTCGCGCTCCTCCCTCTGCTTCGGCGGCGGTCACACCCGTAGCCGCTGACGCGGTCACACCTGCCGCCGTCCTTGCCCTCGCCGCCGCCGACCTGCGTACCATCGGCGTCTCCGGCCGCAAGGCATCCTACCTCCACGACCTCGCGGCCAGATTCGCAGCCGGGGAGCTGTCCGACTCCGCCGTCGCCGCGATGGATGAGGCTGCGCTCCTCGCGGAGCTCACCAAGGTCAGAGGCGTCGGCGAGTGGACTGTCCACATGTTCATGATCTTCTCGCTGCACCGCCCCGACGTGCTGCCGTGCGGCGACCTCGGCGTGCGCAAGGGCGTGCAGGAGCTGTACAAGCTCAAGGCGCTCCCCCATCCGGAGGAGATGGCGGCATTGTGCGAGCGGTGGAGGCCGTACCAGTCAGTCGGCGCGTGGTACATGTGGCGCCTCATGGAGAGCAAGGGCGCTGCAGCCAAGAAGAAGAATAAGGGTAATGCGAGTTCTTAGCTAGGTATGTACATGTATGTGATGGTCTTATGTATTAGTTCTCCCAAAACTGTTAAATTTAGATGATTCTGGGGTAGGTGATGGTGTGTCAGATTTGTGACACTGTCTATGTTCACATCAGGGTCCTTGCAGAGTTACAACTGAAGTTGATTAGTTCCAGTGTCAAATGCTATTATGTTGTAAGCTTGTGATTTTATTAGATATTCATAATTGATGCAACTATATGTGGAGCATAAGTTAATCGTTTCCTATCCTGATTATTAGAAGAAGGATGATTTTGTGGTTGGAAATGATAGTTTCTTCCTTTCAAGTATGTCGTTCTATATCATTATTCAGTCATGACTTGATTGTACATCTTAGAGCATAGATGTGAAATAGTTGGAATAAAGTTTTTGTCCGGATCAATCTGTGTTGCTGCTTTTGATTCTACTGTTACACCATCTAGATTCTACTTTATGCATAGAGGATTCTTTAACAGTGACTTATGGTGGCTCAAACATACATGATTCTAGCATTTGGTTCTTTGCGTTGTTCGTGAGCACAATCTAATGACCTCTCTTTTTGAGCCCGATGCTAAAAAACAGTGGCCAGCTAAAGCAAAATTTGGTGGCAACAAAATGCTACAAGGCAATATTTTTTTAGTTTCCATAAATACATGAGTTTACATCCTCCATAACTTTTAGTTCAAGGGGACAATGAATACATGCGGTTTATGAATGTACACTAGATCCTACAACCACAGGTAGACATAAACTTGCTCATAACCTATACTATATACATGTACACACTGTTTCATCATTTTATTCTCCAACCAGAGCTGGATTCCTTTTCTTCCTTCTAGAACCTAGGTCCATCTTAGATTCGTAGAGCTTTGTTTTCTGCCTCCTTGAGCCTCCAACATTTTAACCTGAAAGCAAAAGTCAATATGCACACCGTAAGTTTCTATGAATTGTAAACATTAATTCTGCTTTGTACATGTGATATCTGCTTGTACTGATTTCGTTTGCAGCTGCTTCTACAGCTGTTGTAAAGACCTGCCTACCAGAAATCACCCACTTGAAAATAAAACAAAAGAAAAGGACAATAAAGGAAGCAAAGAACTACCCAAAGCTTGCCTACTTACACTGCTAAAAAGCGCCATGGAGATGCCCTTTTGGCATAAGCTGTGACTTTCAGAGTAATATGAGAACTGCATGTCGGGTGCAAGCTGGATGCACGAGGGAATAGAGTGTAAGGTACTAAGGTCCAAACTTTTCTATTGGAAGTAGGAGATTTTTGTCATAGTACTAGGATTGGAGCCCACATAATTAGTGGCCATTAGTGGACAAACACCGAGTAATTAGACCCAGATTCTCTTTCTGAGTACGAAAGGAAAGGATGTCTGCAGTTTGGCCTATACAATGTTGATGCGATCACCCATTCATGGAACAGCTAAAGAACATAAAATACTCAGATGCTCGAGTGTGTGAATTCTTGAGACATCGATGACATAGCGATGCATGTTGAGTTATTCCTAAAAAAATATGGTATGGTGACTGAATTATGCTTAGCTCGAGGCCTTCTTCTTGTGACTATCACCAACTAGCATGCATATAGTTAACCAAAAGCTTATGAATACAGAACGAAGCTCTTATGTTATTTGTTTCCAGTTTGCTTTCGAAGTGTCATGGACTTTACCTCGGGTCTAGAATCCCTGTGTCTTGTACTGGGGGTACGGCACGTGGCCTGACTCAATCATCTTGACGTCGTAGTCAAGATCTTCATAGTGGCAGCGCACCTCCTCAGCAGACTTGATGCCTCCCATGGCGCTGGACACCTTGTCCCATCGGTTGGGTGTGCCCTCGCCATAGTAGGCGAGTGCCTGTTCAAACATCTTGTTCTCTTTCAGGCTCCACTTTGACATGGAGTTGGGAGAGGAGCTCCGCGAGGCAGACATATTTGAAGTATCCTTGTTGAGATACTAACCTCTGTTGGTGCTAAGGCTTACTGTATCTAGTGTCTAGACTAAAGTATTTTGCTCTTCAGAAGCTCTTATGGTGTAGTATCTCTTGTCACAAGGTCTGCTATTTATAGGCCCTGTGGTTGCCTGCTGCGTGCGCGTGTGTGAGCTGTAAAGTTGCATGGAATCACAATTGTGGGTTAAAGGTGGCTGAGGAGAATAAGGCTGGCTGGTTTCAGGGCCAAGGGACATGGAGACTATGTGATCTAAATTCAAAGAGTAGAATATCTATGTTTTAAAACCTCTTAAGATTTTTGTGTTGAGATGACTGGTGGTGCATGATGCTGGATATGGTATCAGAGAAAGAGCTCTTCGTGTCCCAAGCTTAGGGCCATAGCACCTGTGCGTTTCATCTGTTGTTAAAGTTAATTTCCTGATGTTTGGATGACTTTGTACACACACTTCGTCACCCTTTCTAACACATCAAGCTTGTAGCTGAACTTGCAGGTGCTTAGATCTCACAAGTCACAAGTAGGGAGCATTCTGCTTCAAAAAAAGGAATAGCTTTAGATTCTGGTCCGCCTGTGTTTTTCACACAACCGAGATGGAGCTGAGCTGATCTGGAGTTCTGTACACCCCATTTCAGCAACACACTGAATCTAACAATGCCAATGGTTTATTTTGCGTGCATGTTGCTGCTCTCTGATGCACAAGCACTGATCATTTCAGCCCCCTGAGGAAATACAACAGCTGTCGTCCAAACTCACTTTATGACTCTGCAGACATGGAGTGCCTCTTTTTTACTGCAAAAAAAAAAGGACTTTGCATGCCAACATATCACCTAATCTCTGGCATATTAGCATGGTAGCATTAGTCCTTTTGAGATGGCAACGCAATATCCTGTGTTTGAGCATGCACACACGCTTGCATTCATGCACGAAAGACAATAGGGGTGATGAAACATTCTCTGTATCAGTGATATAGTCATAACTCCTATATATGGCTCAAGTTCTGATCGAACATATACTTTCCATCGGCAAGAACAGTGGGCATTATGAATAGGCAGACAGGAGTGAGGGTAAGATCAGTGCAAGTAATCAAATTAAATGTAATGCCATTGTATCCAGCAGCTGTTTTGTACTTGCAGAGACCTATAAAGGCATGGTGTTGTCTGCTGTGGATGAATGCACTTATAATGGAGCAAAGTTACAAGGTTGCCTTGCTCTGTAAGTAGTGACTGCTGAATCCCTTAGTGACTAGACTAGACGTATTTGTTTGCCTCTCCTTAAGTGGCAGGTCGATCCATCACATATCCAAAGGCTGAACAAGATTGCAGTGTTGTCTTTTGTCTTCTTCGTTAAGGTAGATTGTCTGTAAAGGGGTTTAACTTTTGAGTGGTGAATTAAAGGAAATCCAAAGCCTACCCTTTTGTACACATGAAATGACCTTATCCGGTCTGTATCCTTGCCCCATGCATGATGAGAGATTGGAAGAATATGTGCCAAGCAAGGCTTGTTAAGTCCCTTTTGGACTGAAGAATACATTTCACCTGTTGCCAGGGCCTTGGAAGAGGGAATTGCATATGTTCTCTATGGTCCATGCCAAAGCTACCCTTATGATTCTGAGACTGCACTTGTACAGCAAGGTACTTGTTGCATGATAAAACTCAGGTCAGTAAATATTTGTTAGGTCCTTGCAGATGCTTGCAAGATGCTAGTGTTGTAGCATGGAGGACCATTGTCTTTAGTGTCTGAAATATGAGACTGGCATGCAGGTCGATGTCTGAGCACATAGCTCGGAAGATGTGCGTATCAGCCAATAGGCTATGTGACTGTGCCTGCAAGATGACGTGCTTCCTGAAAAGTCAGAACTGCAAAGGTGCGCAAACCAAACCTCTGATTGAATGCTTCCATGGCTCATAGTTCCTAGATTCTTGTCTCCATCTGATAGCCATTGTTTACCATTGTCCATTCATGTATCAGCTTTGATGCATCTGATCACAATGATCTCAGCTTGTTGTAGCATCATGTTGACCATTGTCCATTGTCATATCAACTTCATACATGGTTGAAAAACTAGTTATCAAAATGCTGTCACTTCAAACACAGATTCACGTGTAATTGGAAATTTTAATTTATATATTACTTGATGCATAATTCACTGGAGAATGGAGGATAACAGGATTTGGCCTAAGAACATCCATTCTCTTCACCGTGTATCTCTTTGCAATCTCAGCCATCCGATGTACAATCCATAGAACATATTCCAAAGGAGATAAGCAGCCGGTGCACGCCCCTTGGGGACCAAAGGAATATATCTATGGAAAAAATTGCAAAAATGACACTCGAAAGATTGACTCCTTGATTATGATGACACTCGGGTGGATGACAAGTGGGTCCATCTGTGTCTATGAATATGGGTCCAGTGTCAAATCATGTTTTGAGTCCCATTTTTGCAAATCGCCCATATCTATGTGGGTATATGTAACTTTTCATCTCCAATGATCCTGGAAAGGGAATTGACTACATTTCAATCTTGTTCCCGGCTTGTTCATGGAATTCGCACTGTCCCACAGAATAAGATTTGATTTACTGCCACTTGATCTGTCCAAAGGCTACCATTTCTTCGTTCAGATGAATGGGCGTGGAAGGTTTGCATCCATCGGATGTGTTGGAGCAGCAAGTTGCAGTTTTGATTCGTGCAGCGTGCATCGAGCCATCAGGAGATCTCTACCTCGGAATCATATCTGCACAAAGCAGTCGGAAAGATGCAGGATTCCCACTGATATTTTGAACCATCCACGCAAGGCTTCAGGAAGATGCTGGTAGTGAAATGGAGACTTCTTTCAAGCGCTTTGCTAGCGTTTCTGAATATTTTAGGGTAGTGTTTGAGCCTGCAGCTTTGTATGGGCTGTTACCAAAGATAGATTGTGACTTTAGATACTTCAAATCTTGAATCTTTATTTGTGTTTGCCTCTTGCCCTGTGAAATTGGAGATTCTGGATTGAGTATTCTGTGTTGTTTTCAACTGGAAAGGGAGTATATATTGTGTTGAAATTAGTAATATTATTGCCTTGTTGGGTTCTAAAAGAAGAATATATTATTCTGTACCTTTTTGTGTACAGAGATGGGTTCTTGCAATTCTACTGACGTTCAAGTTCAGGGTACGCACCACCAGTGAGTTATACGGTCAACTTGTCTCCTTAAAAGTTAAAACAATTGTTTAAGCACTACAACAATAACGGCTTTAGCAGTGACTGTGAGCCATCGCTCACTGCTTATATTCTCTTAGAGCTGAGCCATCATTAGTTGGTATCTGGCCAGCTGCTTGATGCTATCACCTAGTAGCTCGGATTCAGTGGCCGCCTCTGCATCAGCCTGATTCCAAATCTTGAACGCAAAAAAGCTTGGATCAGATTCTACTCTGATCGACAAGTTGACGAATGCGAATCCAGGCGGTCTCTGCATCTCAATGTTTAGGATTCAAAGTGCTGCATTCTTTTCATCTGATAAGGAAATGAAAGCGGATTCCAGAGGAAACTTCATAGCCAAAGTCGCCTATCTGGTCCAAAGCAGCCAGACAGACCACGTCCATCTCGACACACAAAGGAGAACTCTTCAGTTCCTCACTTGTAAAAAAAGTCTCCACCGGCGTTCGTCACACAAATATTAGTAGAGATGCAGGCAACTGTATGTCCTGTGCTCTGGAGTCCCCAAGGGGGCTAAAAGTTTTGATAATTGATTGTGAAATGTGTAAAATTATGCTTAGTGACACTCAAAGTGACCAGTAGTTTTGAAACAAATTATACCCACTGATAACTCACGCTACAAAACTGAACACATAAACTTTTATCATCACACAACTTCAAAACATCTGCCTACTGCCTACTGAGTAGCTGTAGTCGGACGAGACAAAAATTTAGCAGGGAGGCAGGCATCCAGCATTCCAGCCATGCTTAGCTCCTCAGCTTCTTTACCGCGGGGCTTTCCCAGCCTTCTTCCCAGCTTTCCCTCTCATGCCTTTCGGGCCACCCTTCCCCTTTGCGCCTTTGCCGCCCTTCTTCCCTTTCTTCCCAGTTCCGCCAGACCGCTTGTCCTTCTTCATCCGTGGATCCACCAACACCTTCCCTTTGCCAGCCCTCACCTGAACCCCCTTCTTTGCAACAACATACTCCTTCTGAGGCTTCTTTGGCATCGCCTTCCTGTAAATCTGGTCAATCATCTTCCTCTTTGATCGCTCGTTTATGTCATTCTGGTCCGCTATGGCATCTGCCTTTTGGCGTGCCTTGTCAAGATTCTTCATGACAACACGCTTCTTCCGAGCCTTGGCCTCTGCAACCTTCTTGGATGGGCGGGCATCAATCTCCTTAAACTGAGCCCTCATCGCAGCTACTTCCTCACGCGTAACAGGCTTCATGGGCTGCCTATGCCTCTTTTCATCCTCAACAAACCAGTTGGGTAACCCTTCGTCATCAAACATGTGTTTGTTGTAAGCATCATCAAGTATCTGCTCTCTCTGTTTCTTCCTCAGCATCTTCTTAGCATAGGCTAGTACTTCAGCCTTTCTGTAATCATCGAGATCATCCTCCGATTCATCAGAAGATGAAGATGAATCATCTTCGTTTCGGACAGGTTCTGCTGGTACAATCTCAAAATCTTCTTGTTGCAAACACTGTGCTTTAGCCACCTTTTCCTTTTTGCCAGTATCCATCTTCTTATTCCTCTGCAAACTCTCCCTTTCATCTTCAGTGTCACTCTGCTCAGTAACGCCGGATGCAGCTTCTGTGAACACATCCTGACTATACCATTGCTTTACAATCTGCTCTTTAGTTGGCCTCTGTTCATCTAGAGATAACAGAAGGGGATTGGTCTCCTGATCTTGATCTTCGTCAAAATCTTGATCCATTTCAACATCACCATCATCTTCACCTCCCTAGTAAGATTAAAAGATAATAAACATCTATATCACCTTAAAACTTTACAACCTCTATTATTGTAACCAAGACAAAAGAAATTGAGATCTTAAACTTTACACCCTCTATTATTGTAAATTGTAACAAAGAAAAAAGAATTGCATAGCATTGTACAAGTCCTGCCCTTTGGCAAAGTATTACCTCTAAGAGGTCTGCATCAGCATCAGGATTGATTCGTTTCGCACGCTTGCGTTCTTGTTTTATTTCACCACCCTTTTTAGTTACAAAGCGCTCATAAGCTTCATCAAGCATCTCCTCAAGCTGGGCATCATACCTGATGTGAACAATGATTACTTACAAACTTTTGACATGACAGTTTTCTTTTTTAGAAATATAAGGATATTTGATCACTTCATTATGTGTTCAGATGGTGTGGATGTTCAAAAAAAATTACCTCTGCTGTTCCTGGTCAGAATCCATTTCCTCATCAGAGTCTTCACGAGCTTGAGTATCCTCATTCTCACTGTCTCCAATTTCATCTTCCACATCAAGCTCTGCTGATTCAACAGCTTCAAGTTCTTTTCCACCCTAAAAAAAGGAAAATGAATATAAAACTTAAGAATTAGATGATCATGAACGAGAATGCTCTTTTAGATGCTTTTCCAAGAACAAACCACAGGTAAAGATAGAACATACATAGCTCATTAGAAGGTTTACAGAAATCCAAATAGAGTGGATAAAATTTGTTGGTGAGTTTTTAGCAAAATGGAGCCTGTTGTATTTAGAAATTATTGCATGCGGGACATAGAGGAAACTCAAGAGAGGAAAATGAGTATTGCTGTTTACTTCTTTAAGTGTAACAAATGGGGGAAAAACAAGTTTCATGTAAAACTAAATCTCTTCCAGTGAGCTATCAGTATAAATTCTGAGGACAGGTAATGCCACTAAGTAAAAGATAGCACATAACATGTCCACAGAAACAAGCATTATACCTTGATAACACTAATAGAAAACAAGTCAGGATCTCCATAATCATCTCCTGTAGCATCAATCTGCATTCCTGTGGCCTTGCGTGCTTTATCCTGGAATGAAGAGAGCCATATGTCAGCATAAATCTCAAATCAACATCATATTGCAAAAAATGCATATGTATTTCATAATACCTTTGCCCGACGCTTTGACAAACGCTTTCTCTCTCTTCTTTTCTTTCTATCAATGACACTGGTCAATTCTTCCATTTCCTGTAGAAGTACATCATCATCCGTGACCTTTGTGTTCTCCACAGCATCACTGACCTTTGGGGTGACTTGTGAAGACGCTGACAGTGCTTTTCGTAAGCGAATTCGCCATCTAACATGGTCATGCAATAGATATAAGATTTATATACTCTGCACACCTCTACTTATAGACTTGTTTGGGTTATCATAACTATTTAAATGAACAGAAATAAACCATATGGGAAAATAGAATGGTAGATAAGGTACTCACTTCAAGATATGCTTGAAACTATTCTTATCCAACAGAAGTAAGTCCTCACAGAAATTTTTTATCTGGAACAAACCAAATAATCAGCCGTAAGTACCTATACAAAAATAGATGGAAAGATAAGCTGTGCAGTATGCTTAGCAAAGGCATCAGTCCCTTACATCATCTGTTGTAAGCTCATGATTCTTTATGGGCAGGGATTCTGGATTATCAAATGAAATTGCATTGTAAGAGCCCAAAAACTCCAGTGGCGCCTGGGCGTCAGACCATATAAAGTCTGATGCCAAACCAACTTTCCGCAATGTCGTATTCCCTTCTTCATACCTACATACAAGTTATTGATATCAGTGTATAACAATCTATTGTGCCATATTGTTCACCAAAGAGGGCTTTGTGTAACAAAAACTTAAAGCTACAACTTCTACAGGTGGATTCCACCAAAGTTTTTCAACATAGAAAGAACAGCGTATGCCTTTTTAATAAACTTCTACAGGTGATAGGCTTGGTGAGCCAACATAAACACCCACTCACTCTTATGAAAATAAACACAGACAAAAAATTGCAGCCTTAAGTGCAGTGAGCCAACATAAACACCCACCCACTCTTATCAACATAAACGCTCTTAGTGTCTTAGTGATGCACCATACATGAACCCGAGTACTGGTGTTTTTGTTGAACAAATTCTACAAACTGTTATTCTTGTTCATTGTTGCTTACCCAAAGAGCAGAAAAGCACAGTTTTCTGGCTCAAACTAGAAATGCCTAACTGATTATGTGACTTTAAAAAATGCCGAATTGGTGAGAACAAACATCTCAATTGCTTGCACGAAATAACAGAGCAACTTGTAAACTTTCACGATACCAAGAGCAATGCGATTATTTACATGTGAGCAGAACAAGGATATTGGAAAACAGACTGTTATAAACTTATAATGAACGTAAGAAGTGGATATTTAATGTGAGAACTGAGAACAGATATAGGTATAACATTATAGTCCACTATGATGTGAACACTGCTAATCGTGCAAACAATTATATAGATATAAAAAAGATACACACTTTCAGAAGGGGAAAAGGAAAAGAAGCAGGCAAACTTGATGTGAAAGCCTACCCATCACGGTGTCTCTTTTTCCTACCATCCATGACATCCCTAGACTGCAGAGCACCAAAATTTCCAAAATTAAGGTATGCTAGCAGAAAAAAGAAAAGAAACTAGATAGATGATTCAGACAAGTGGCT